AGTAGCGCAAGCCCGTATATTACAGATCTCGCTCGCGGCAGCGATCGATTAACGCTATTCATTTGCTGTTGGAGCCCTTCCTTACAGGTAGTCCCGTCAAAATGGCCGCGAAATCAGGCTTGGCTGCTGGCATCAACAAGGGTCACACGTTGAACGTGCGCCAACCCAAGGCACTTAAGTCTTCTTATTCTGCTAAGAAGCATCTCGCCCGTGAGGTCGCCCGTGAGGTTTGCGGATTTGCTCCCTATGAGCGCCATATGATGGAGTTGATCAAGATCGGCTCTGCTGCTAGCTTCAAGCGTGCTCTCAAGGTAGGTATCACTCTTGGGGTCTTCTATAGTGGTCGCGGGGATGGATTACTCCTGTTCGAGTTTGTTTACGGAATGATGTTTTTAGTACGGCAAGAAGCGTTTGGGCACCCACAAGAGAGCTAAGGCGAAGCGTGAGGAGCTCCAGGCTGACATCATGGCCCAGCGTAAGAAGGCTCACGCCGCCCACGCCCATCACTAAGTGGAAACGCTCAAGTAAAGGCGACTACGACCTCTCTGGTTGGCAGCTGCGGTGCTTCCAATGCTGTTTCCAGTGCTCTCCGACGGGAACTATTCCCTCCCTATTGCGTTGAGTTCAGTCATGTAGGGTTCATTTTATGCAGGGATTTGTTGAATCGCGGTTTGCTCTCCAGTAGCTCTGCGCGAATTAGGCCTGCAATAGCAAATGGAGGCTGATTAGCGGCAATGTAGCGTAACTGTTGTGATTGCCGTCAGTCGTCTGATCAACACCTTACCACTCCATGATGACTTCATGTTATGCATAGTTCACTCGTATTGTTAGTGACGATTACCATAATCACCATCTTTCGTCTGAGATCTCCCTATTGTCACTCGTAATGATGACTTCATGTTATGCATAGTTCACTCGTATTGTTAGTGACGATTACCATAATCACCATCTTTCGTCTGAGATCTCCCTATTGTCACTCGTAATGATGATTTTGTTCGCATAGTTCACTCGTATTGTTAGTGACGATTACCATAATCACCATCTTTCGTCTGAGATCTCCCTATTGTCACTCGTAATGATGATTTTGTTCGCATAGTTCACTCGTATTGTTAGTGACGATTACCATAATCACCATCTTTCGTCTGACATCTCCCTATTGTCACTCGTAATGATGATTTTGTTCGCATAGTTCACTCGTATTGTCAGTGACGATTACCATAATCACCATCTTTCGTCTGAGATCTCCCTATTGTCACTCGTAATGATGATTTTGTTCGCATAGTTCACTCGTATTGTCAGTGACGATTACCACAATCACCATCTTTCGTCTGAACACTCCCTGTTCTCGCCTGTTCATACTACCTGGTTTGGTTACTTCGTTGCCATCAGGAGGGAAACGCGGGCCACACCCATTTCTGCTCTCGCTCCCATTACTGGCTCGCGACCACGTTCTGAGTCTGTTTAGTTTAGTGAGGCAGTGCCTCAGAGGCACAACCCGATCGTTTACGCCTGTTTATACTACCTGTTCTGGTTTTTCGTTGCCCTCAGGAGGGAAACGCAGGCAATACAAACTACTCCTTCCCATTTCCCACACCTTCATGTAAGGTATCGGTTAAGTTAAGTCAGTTACATTTGAATACTTATTTGATCCCCGATTTCTTTTCATTCGTTCCGCACTTAGGTCGTGTTAAAAGAG